AAGTTAACCTACTCTGGAGATTCCCTAACTTGATTCTATGTAAGATAATAAGTTAAAGGGGGAAAAAAGCTAATTAAATTGGATTTTCTGCTACTAGCAGTATATTCAAATATTCAAATTCATTCAAATATTCATGCCATTCACTTTAAATCTACCTTATAATTTCACACCACAGTTCTCAAGTAAAATGAGACAACTCATTTCTTCATCTCAGAGAACCACATGAGAGTAAGGTTGCAATCCTGGGATCAAATAGATATTTATCTGAACTGTATGCATACTGTAGACAAGACTATCAGCTTATCAAACTCCTACAGGATGATAACCTGTTTCTGCAAATAATACACAATTAACATACACATAAAATAATCTTTGAGTTTACCTGAAATTAAATAATGGTTGTTTCTGACTCTGGAGAAATTGTATTCAAATTACTATTATTTTTAAATAAACTTCTGATTCTATTATCTACTCTTTAGATTTGATTTACAATTAAAGCTGACTCTCCAGATGGAATACAGTAGCAGAACCCACCATCTTCTTAACCGACTAGTTACCTCTCCCTGAACCAATCCAACTCCTCTGTATTATTGAAGTCTATGCCATTTAGAACTACATATATAGATTTAGAATTATACTTCTGCAATGTTTTATGCAAGGGTAAAAAAAATGTTTGATTTACTTTTCTAGCTTGTTTCCTATCATACACTTTTTGTCAAGTTTGTTTCAGTCGTTACAGTTTGTTTTTAGTTTTTGTGTATCACCTTTTAAACTTTTTGATTTAAATTTTTAATTACATAAAATATTTAAATGCACCTCAAGTTAAAACTATTAAATAATATATATTCAGAAAAGTCCAGCTTTAATCTCTGTCCCCTTGAACCTATTCCCTCATTTTGCCCTAAAGGCAACAATTAAAAAAAAAACCTTCTATTGTTTCTATTTACAAATATAAGTAAACAACAGAGAGACTGAATGTACGGGGTAGCTGTATGTTTCTATCCTCCTCCTCTACTTTATTAAACAAATGTTGTGTACTGTACACACTCTCCTGCACCTACTGAAAGTGCATTTGGAGATTATTCCAAGCAGGATATTTTTTTGCCCAGCCACAGAGTACTTCATTGTTTGGATGTACATCACTGTATTTGTATAATTTCCTTTGTTTCCCAGCATTATCTCTTATTTCTGCTAACGTAAGACACATACAGAATTTTCCTGTGACAGAAAGTAAGCTTGTGACAGAAACTGGAGGATCTTGGAAATGCGTCTTAGGGACTAGAGTTTTGACTTTGTCCTGAGGGCCTTCTGAGACCTATTTATGCAGAGGAATGCATTCTAAGCCAAAGAGTCAGCATGTCACGAACATTTACCTGAGAGACAAAAATGATTCAAGCATTACAGCCTAATAAAAGAATAGTTCAAGAAGTACTCAGGTTTAGACATTCCTTTTTTAAAGTTGAAAGAAAGAAAGAAAGAAAGAAAGAAAGAAAGAAAGAAAGAAAGAAAGAAAGAAAGAAAGAAAGAAAGAAAGAAAGAAAGAAAGAAAGAAAGAAAGGAAGGAAGGAAGGAAGGAAGAAAGAAAGAAAGAAAGAGAGAGAGAAAAAACAGCATGATTTTCTCTTTATTTCTCAAAATAAAAATTTTGAAAGCATCACATCCTCACAAGGTACCCACATCTCATATTTGTTGTCTTATTTCTGTACCCCATGGTGTAAAGAAACGTGTCTTTGAAATGCAAAGATGTAGAAGACCATCATGATACGGGTTCATTAGGGCTTTCTCTTAGCTCAGGAAAATATGCCTCTGACAGGATGCAGAAAACCCAAGACAAAAGCAGGGAAGGAAGGAAGGAAACTTTCCAGTTCCAGTTCTCTGATGCACTTGTCCCTTTTCCTTCCTACTTCTCTCCTTGAAACTATATAAACCAGATGATTTTCACTCTGTATTTATTTGAGAAAAACTTTTAGGTAACCTGGGCAGAATGAGATCAGATGTGCAAGAGGCAGTAAAGGTTGAAAACCTTTAAAGAGGACCAGGAAAGAATGAAAATAAGGTATTGCAATCAATATTGGGGGTTCCCAGGTCAAGGGTGGGCTGAGGAAGCCATCAGGGAGGACATTTTCTGCAGGGTCACTGAACCAGGAGCAAAGCAGATCCTGAGAAAACACTCTCTTTGAGGAAGAATAAGAGCTAATCAGAAAATTTTTTCATGCTGCAAAGAAGCTGGGACAGAAGGTTCTTCCTTAAGTGTCACCATCTTCACTTCAGCTCAGGAGTCCTGCAGAAGACAGAGTACAGTGTTGCTTCCAGACATAACTCTACAAGTAACACTTTTTTGCCTCCTCTCTCAGGGACTCATGTTTAAACACTGCAATGAGAAGGGGGAAAAAATTCTTAAGTCTCCTGAGCCAAGGCTACTTTAGAGCACAGGCCTTTTGCTTAGTGGTAAGAAGAAATTTTAATGTAAACTGCTTGATCAGAGGTCACATCAAATTCTTTCACATTATTTCTGTCTCCTGTCTCGTAACCCCTACAATCTGTGCTAGGGAAACTGACTATGACTCAAAAAGAGAATTAAAGAGCATACCTGTAGGCTGAAGTCCAGAGTGTCCTGGGAAAGAGAAGTAAAGATATATACTTAAATATAGTGAGATAAATTCTCCCTAAACACAATGTCCCCAGCCCCAGGCCCCCACCTGAGATTTCTCTAACACCACATCCACATCACATGATGGTGCCAGGGCAGACATGAGGGCAAACACTGAGAGCATGTGACCCATGAAGTTTCTGTCACACAAATCCAGTGTCATTTCATTAGCCTTGTGTCTCTTCTTGCATTTGCCCCAGGATCTCCAGGAAATTGAGGTCAATTGGGGAAATAAAGGCTTTAGATGGAACCATTGATATACAGAGAACTAACTGAGCAAAACCATGTTTTTTTTCCCCTCTAAACACTCTACAGGGAGTTTCAGCTGCCAACAGGTTCCTTACCTTTCTGGTTCCTGAAGTAGATGAACAGCCCCACCCCAAGGAAGAGCAGACCCAGAACGAAGCCCCCAATTCCACTCAGCATCTTGCTCTGAGCAGATTCAGACTGTGCCCCTGAGGAAAGAAGTTAGTTTTAGTGATTTTTATCCCAAATCCAGCTTTCCTAATTGATAATCTGTGATCAAGAGCTTTGAGATTGGGGTAAGAAGTCTGCACTTGAAAAAATAGAATGATTGACCATTTCTGGATGAGAGATTTAAAAATTACACTGAGTAGCTACATGGTTCTGGCATTGAATTCACTTAAATATTGCAGCCCTGACATAAGGCCACACGACTTCAACATCTGATGAATGAGGAGCCTGGGATAGAATGATGTTAAGCAGTTGGTCTAGGGTGACAGAGCTAATAAAATTCAGAGCTGAGACTGGACTCCCCTCATGTCAGGAAGGTCTCTACATTGAAGAGGATGTGTCCCTTCTCAGATCACAATGAACTCAGAGCAGCAGTGTCAGAAGCACAAGTCCAGCCCTAGGTGGAAGGCAAGACTATGACCCAAAATATCAAGGGAAGGTT